TTATCCCGTCCATGTGTGCATTCTACGCAGGAAATTATCTCCTTCCTCCTCCCCCCTCCCTTTCATTCTTGTCCCCAAACCTCCCACATCTTCCTCCCCAAACCCACACAAATGCAAACTCATAGCTTTATGTTTAGTTTCTTTCTTTCAGATTCTTCTTCTGCTTCTCTCTCTCCTCTCTCTCTCTCTCTTTCTCCTTTTCTCTCTTTTCTATGACTTTATGCCAGCCTACTTATCTCTCTCCCTCTCTACCTCCCTCTCTCTCTCTCTCACTCTCTCTCTCTCTCTCTCTCTCTCCGCCTCTCTCACTCTCTTTCTCTCTCTCTCTCTCTCTCACTCGCTCTCCTCTCTCACTATCTCTCTCCTCATTTCCCTGAAATTTGTATTCCTCTGTCTTTATTTATGCCTCTCTACCTGCCTGCCCCCCCCTCTCTCTCTCTCTCTCTCTCTCTCTCTCTCTACCCACCTCCAGCCCCAAACACCCCATCATCCTCTCACAAGCAGCATCTGCTCTGGAGGCATGGTAAGGGGGAGGGGGGAGGACGGGGACGGGGAAAGGCTGACGATCAGTGCGAGCGACGTGGGCGTAGAGCGCTGAGAAGAAATCGATGGGTGTATTTCCGGGGGCGCAGCCCGGCAGGGTGACAGGGGTATGGCCACAAAGGGGTCACGGTATTACCTGCTTGGCAGGGGCACCCCTTGTAGTTGGTAATACAGAGTGGATGAGATTTACGGGGACAGATGGAGAGATGAAGAGAGAGAGTTGGGGTGAGAGACAGACAGACAGACAGACAGACAGACAGACAGACAGACAGACAGACAGACAGACGTAACGAGAGAGAAAGAGGGGAAAGAGTGGAAGAGATAGGATGAGAATGAGGATAGTGAGAGAGACAAAAGAGAGAGAGAGAGAAAGACAAAAGAAAGAGAAAGAGAGAGAGAGAGAAAGAGAGAGTGAGAAAGAGGGAGAGAAAGAAAGAGAGAGGGAGAAAGAGGGAGAGAAAGAAAGAGAGAGAGACAGAGATTGATAGATAGATAGACAGATAGAGAGAGAGAGACAGAGAGAGACAGAGAGAGAGACAGAGAGACAGAGAGAGATGGGAGAGAGGGAGAGAAAGAAAAGAGAGAGAGAGAGAGAGAGAGAGAGAGAGAGGGG